TTTTTTTTTTTTTTTTTTTTTTTTTTTTTTTTTTTTTTTTTTTTTTTTTTTTTAATATTCTGAAAGTGTCAGGTCAGTAGATTAGAGATGTCAGGGTGTCTACTGTACGGAAAAGTACGGATATGTCGCAGACAAATATCAAAATCACACGTTTTGTCAAAAGCCTAGGCAGATAGTTAAATTTTGACGGTCCACAAAATGTTGTGAATTTATGGCGGAAAGCTTACGAGTTTTCAATATTTTAGGAAAAATAACTCATCAAACCTACGAACTCTTTTTGTCTGTTCCTCTTCAATTGCTTCTCATATTTTTAACTGTTGAAATTCTAAAAATTCTGTATTTTATGACATGCTGCAAATTTCAAGATAAGTGTCTGCTCAGGAGCTAAAAATCATTTAAAATATTTTTGTGTGACGCAAATTTTTACTGAGAATTTTTTCTTACGGGAGCGATTACATATTTTGTCTAAAATTAGGAGAAGAATCAGAAGTTCAATCTCAGTTAGAATAGGTATTTGACGATTTACTTAGGCATTTGACAAAATGCCTGATTTTACTATTTGCCTGGGACAAATACACGAGCACGGATTTCAGAGGGTCGATACGGAAGTACGGAAAAGGTACGGAAATTCGGTGAATAGGTACGGAAATTTGAAATTTTTGTGACAAACTGGACAGTAGCCTTGAGAATGTGCGATTTCCTAACATAATCCATTTATCAACATCCCGGTTTGATGCCCCGTGTTTTTCGATTTTTTCCATCGTCATTCGATCATTTCACTTTTCTAATCCGCATAAAATTAAGACTGCATGACTGCATGTAAGGTAAGAAAAAAGTAAGGAAAAGGTAAGGAGAAAGCAAGGATTTTTTAGAATCGCCAAAAGAAGAATTGGATTGCATTTTACAAAAAGGAACCACTAGCATTAAAATGATGCTAAGATTGTGCAACTTCATCCTTTGCAATAAAATTGCGGAAATTGTGAAAAACTATGAAATTTAGATGGTAATTTTTGTCTTAAATTTACAGTTTTTAGCGAGTAAAATAGAAACTATTGAGGGATAATCGGGTTTTTCCTCCAAGACAAAAGAAGTTGCACAATCTTAGCAACATTGCAATGCTAGTGGTTCCTTTTTGCAAAATGCAATCCAATTTTTAGGAAAGTAAGGAAAAAGCAAGGAATAGGCACTGATTAAGCATGGAATTTAAATGACAGGGTACCAGAAGACACCCTGATGGTGATTTATTGTGTATTTTTTTGGCCAAAATTCCGGACAAGCTAGCTTTTAATAAGTCCAAAGACTTGGAGGGCATTTCAAACACGTCGTCGGAATGGAGGAAAATGATGAAAATGATGCACTGCGGCAGCCAACTCGCTATCTCATATATTTGTTGAAATAAAACTTTTTTTCAATGTGGAATTGTTGCCTGTGAATTTCAGATAACATACATGTAATTTGCTTCTTTGATTCTGAAGATACAATTTTGACTTTCCTATAGTTTTCACATACGAGGATTAGAAAGACACTCAACGAGAGTCGTAGAAATCCGTGCTCGCCTCTGATTGGTGCCGGATGACACTGTTCGGTTCGGCGCCAAAGCCAGCCGTTTTCAATCTGCGGAAAAAATGCGCTTCTTG